AACTTTCCATCCAAATAATTGTTAATTTTTATTTTATAATCCCACATCGGAAAAAGAAAAAAAGAAAGTGAGTTGTTTCACTTATATAAAGTGAATCTTATTAGTGTAGTATTGTGTATACTTCAATTCAAGTCAGTTTAACTCTTAAAATTAAAATAACATTTAAAAGTTTTAATTAATTAAATTTTGTATAAGTTGGTTGGCCATTTGACCTAACTAATTAGGTTGAACCATTTTGGGTTTGACAGATTCGTCTGTTTAATCGCGATCTCTCATATTAATTTTAAACAATTAAAAAAATGTCTATTGGCTAACTTTCATTTAACCATATAAAAATAAAATTCTAATTAGTTTATAATTTATTTTATAATCCCACACTGGGAGAAGAAAAAAAAGCAAAATTTGTTTCACTATCTATCTATATGTTATATAAGAAAAATGAGATTTTTAGGGAGAAGCCTTTTAGGAGCTCCAAACCCTTATTCTAAAATTATTGAATTTTCTTAATTTTAAACAATAAAGAAAACTCACGTTGGCTAATTTCTATTTGCCTTTTATTTTACAATCTCACATTGGAAAAAGAAAAAAAAAAGAATTGCTTCACTTACATAAAGTGAATCTTTTGTTTCCATTTATATAAGTAAAATGAGATTTTCAGTGAAAAACTCTATGATCAATATCTCATACTCATTTTATGATTTTTTTTTAATTTTAAACAATTAAGAAAATCTCCATTGGCTAGCTTCTATTTAACTTTTATTTTACAATCCCACATAGTTTTGATTTTAAAAATAATTTTGTTTGAGATTTTGAAACTTTCATAATATTTAACTTTAAAATAATTACAATCCCACATCGAGAAAATAAAGAAAAAGTGAATTCTTTAACTTATATAAAGTGTTACAATCCCACATCGAGAAAAGAAAGAAAAAACGAGTTGTTTTACTTATATAAAATGAATTTTATAAAGAGAGTTTTAAGGGAAAAACCTTCTAGAAGCTCCAAGCCCTCATTCTAAAATTATTGAGTTTTTTTTAATTTTAAATAATTAAGAAAATTCCTATTGGCTAGCTTTCACTTACCTTTTATATTTTACAATCCCAAATCAGGAAAAATGAGGAAAAAGTGAATTGCTTCATTTACATAAAGTGAATCTTATGTTTCAATTTATATAAATAATTGAAATTTTTTAATTTTAAACATTTAAGAAAATCCCTATTGGTTAGTTTTCATTTAACTTTGATTTTACAATCCCACATTAAAAAACAAAAGGAAGAAAAAAGTGAATTTTTTCATTTATGTAAAGTGAATCTTATACTCCCATTTATATAAGGAACGGTAAGTTTTTAGTGAGAAATCATATAATCAATACTATTTTTTTTTAATTTTTTTCCCCTTACTTTTAAACAATTAAAAAAATCTCCATTAATTAGTTTCTATTTAACTTTTATTTTACTATCTTACATAGATGTTTTGATTTTAAAAATAATTTTATATCAAAGTTTTGTAACTGTCATAATATTTAACTTTAAAATAATTATAATCCCACATCGTGAAAAGAAATAAAAAGTGAGTTGTTTCACTTACATAAAGTAAATCTCATATTCTCATTTAATACTATAGTATTGTGCATGTGTCAGTTCAAGATGGTTTAAATTTTAAAATAAAATTTAAAGGTTTTAATTAATTAATTAATTTTGTTGTAAATTGGTTGGTTTTTTGACTTAGCCGATTAGGCTGAATCGTTTTCGGTTTGACTGATTCACTAGTTTAATCACGGTTTTACCTATTTTATCAAAATATATTACTTAAATTTGTTTGATTTGAAATAAACTAAGGTTGACCTTATTAAGAATTGAACGACTGAGATTGTTTGATTAGAAATTAATTTCTCGTCCATATAACTGTTAACTTTTATTTTACAATCCCACATCAGGAAAATGAGGAAAAAATGAGTTGTTTCACTATATAAACATTATGCTCCCATTTAATAGGGAAAATTATGCAAGTAGTCCCTATAATTTACACGATGTGTCAATTTGGTCCATATTGTTTCAATTTGCTCGATTTTGCCCCTTAATTTAACGAATTGTGTCATTTTAGTCCAATAAATAATGGTTGTTAAGTTAATTTAACGAAAAATCAAACAATGTGACAATTTGATCCCTGTATTTTCTATAATGTGTCAATTTGATTCCTCTCAAAATCGAGAAAATTATAACAACATGGACCAAATTGACACATCGTGTAAAGTATATGGACCAAATTGACACATTGTTTGACTTTCCGTTAAATTAACTTAACAACTATTATTTATTGGACTAAAATAACAAAATTCGTTAAATTAAAGGATAAAATCGAGCAAATTGAAACTACAAGGACCAAATTGACACATCATGTAAACTACATGGACTATTTGCATAATTTACTCCATTTAATATTGTAGTATTGTGTATGTTTCAGTTCAAGATAGTTTTGGTTTGGGATGTTATAAAAAAGTGCACTTTTTGACTTATTGGCTTACATGGGTTGGGTATGGGTTGGGTTTGATGTGATGCGTTAGACAGGTGATGTGATTTAAATAAGATGATCTGACTTAAATAGGATAGTGACTTTTTGACTTTTTGTATTACTTAGGTTATGCCAAACTTGACCCAAATTTTAAAATTAAAATAAAATTTTTAATTTTTAATTAATTCATTTTTGTATAAGTTGGTTGGTCCTTTAACCTAGCCGATAGGGTGAATTGTTTTTGGTTTGACTGATTCGCTGGTTTAATTATGATTTTAACGATTTTATCAAAATATATTGGTTAAATTTGTTTAATTCGAAATAAATTAAAGATTGACCTAATTAAAGATTAAACGGTCAAAATTGCTTGATTTGAAATAAATTTTCCGCCTAAACAATTATTAACTTTTAAACAATTAAGGAAATCCCCATTGGTTAGCTTTCATTTAACTTTTATTTTATAATCCTAAACTGAGAAAATAAAGAAAAAAATGAATTGTTTCATTTATATAAAGTAAATCTTATACTCCTATTTATATAAGCAAAATGATATTTTTTGGTGAGAAGCCTTATGATCAATATTTCATACTAATTTTTTAAATTTTCTTAATTTTAAAAAATTAAGAAAATCCTGATTGGTTAGCTTCTATTTAATTTTTATTTTATATAATATAAAAAAATTAAATATAATTATCATATTTTTATTAAATAATATATTATTTTATCTCGTGTATAACACGGATGATATGCTAATATATATATAAATTAAAAAGTTGTTAGTCCCATTGAAAAAAACAACGTGAAAGACATAAGAGAAGAAGAGGATAAGAGAATGAGCTGGTGCTAAGATTTTCTATTTATAAATACTATCTTCTTTCAAGAAAGTAAGACTCAAAATGCTGAGAAATTTAAACGATATTCGTATCTAAATTTATATTTTAGTAATTAATTATATTCACAATATTTTAATAAATTAAAATCTTACATGGGGAGCTCGCAGGGGTGGGGCTAGCTGGGGAAGGTAAAAGGAGCTCTAGCTTTTGTCCGCCCTGGTTTTCTCTGTTAAAATAAAACATGTACTTTTTTTTTGCGCACCAAAACGACGGCGATTTGGTGCATTACAAAACACACTTCAAATTTAAGCTGCAGAGGATCCAGACACCATTTAGCTTGCCCTTTACGCTATTCCTGTCATTTTATAGCCGCCTTCCCCTCGCCATTCGCCCTACCATTTTGCTTTGCTTTGCTCTGCTCCGCAACACGTGTACCTCATCAAACCTTTTGGTTTTCTTAGCTGCTTTCAGAGTTTTGGAGGCGACTTGGAGGCTTGTTGGAAGCGATTTTTCATCTTCTCTCTCCGTTATATTGCTAGATCTTCACTTCGGTATGGTTCTCCTCTCATCTAAAGTACAGATGCCATGATACTATTTTATTTTGAAAGATCCTTGTTTTACTTTATTTATTTGATGATCCTTGTTTGATCTCATGATTTTTCATGTCTTTATATATATATATATATATATGGAGAAGGATAGATGCCATGGTAGGGTTTTATCTTGAAAGATCCTTCGATTCAACAAGGTGATGTGTATGTTAAAAAGCTACGGGAGAGAGGGCTGTCTCTGAGGTGAGGCGACGAAAGTGCCTCGAACCCTCAATTTTGGATAAAATTTAGGGCCCAATTATATTTCATAATTATTTCAATATTAGCTCAATCTATTTATTTTTATGTTGTCATATAGTGTTATTTTTATTTTGATTCGTATGTAATTGATATTATTTAATATGAAAATTTTTATTTTTAGTTAAAAATAAATTAGCAAATGTATGGCGAAATTAAATTTTTTTCCGTAAGTTGAATTTTATAAAATTTATTTATATTAAATGAAATTATTCGTAGAATGTTTGATTTCAATTCAATTTTATTTTTCTAATTAAAAAAATTGTACCATATTATTATATATTTTTTATTAGATTAACTCAGGTAACAAAAAAAATACATATTTTAAATGAAAAAAAAGGTACTAGCCTTAATTATTATTTTACATATTTTTTTATTCAGTTAGATGAAGTTAAATAAAAAAATTAAAAAAATGTTATGGCATCGTTAGTGAGTATTAAAATATATAACTAATAATTTATGTTATTAAGTCATGTCATATTTGGATTCATGTTGAAAAATAGTCAACCCTAACTTGTTAATTTTATATACTATTTGAGTTCTGTCGAAAATTATCATTCTTATCCTTAATTAATTTTAGTTCTTATAGTATTGGTAAGCTAAAAAATAAATATTCGATTCAACTAATTGAAATTGAACTATTATATATATATATATATATTTGTTTTCAAAATTTTGTTAAATTGTAATGCAATAGAAATAAAATTTTATGCTTTTATATGAAAGGTCCAATTCTATTTTCTAGCTAGATCGAAGTTTTCATAGCTATAAATTTCCTATCGTTTGGACAGGGTTGTCTGTCTCCAACATGGACCTGCCACTGGATGTAATACGGGAAATTCTTGGGCACAGCTCTATTGAGGAAGCAGTAAAAACAAGCATCTTGTCCGAGAACCCGATTTATGCTAAAAATTGGTCTCGACATACAGACGTCGTGGTTGACAGCAACTTCTGGGAGGAGCATTCGACAAGGAATCAACTAGACCCAGGGGCAGTTGCAGAGATAGTCTCCGGAATTCTGTATAATCACAAAGGTCCCATTCGGAAGCTTATTCTCTGCATTCCGCGATGTCTTGTGGAAGTCGTTCCGGTCATACGATATGACTGGGTCCGACATATAAATAAGTGGTTGTTTTCACTACATTGGAACGATATCGACGAAATCATCTTGTATAATTACAATGATGAGACATACAAGATCAGTTTTCTATATGCGTTGGTAAATTTGACAAGTTTGGTTCTTGGTAATTGTATATTCTACCAACCATTTGGAGGCTTTCGGAATCTCCATTGCATTCGTCTTGACAACATAGATTTTGGCTCGGAGATAGTTGGTACTGTTACCTACAATTTCCCAAATCTTACCTTTTTCAAGGCTGTAAACTGCTCTGGCTTTAGACATTTGAAAATCGAGGCTCCAAACCTTGAGAGGTTTAATGTTTGTGCCACCAACGGTGATGAAACGACTATGTATAAATCGGGTCAAATAGGTTTAAAGCGGGACACCAAATCGGTGAAGGGGGTGGTGGTTTTTGATGAGGGACTTGTCTATCTAATCGGGTTAAGTATTCTTCGTCGGCCCCAAGAAGAAGAAACTTGCCCAGAACTTGAACCAAACTCACGGAAGTGGTCTAGACGTTTTCCCAGTAGGAAAATGATACGTTTTAGAATGTTGAATAAGGTTTTTTTTGGTTTTCTTAGTAAGGTTAAAAATTAAAAAAGGTCAATTTCTCAGGAAAGAAAGCAGAGCCTCTCTTTTTAGATTCCACAGAGAGAAAGCTCTCCCATGGTTTCTCGTGGTATCTGGTGCTGTCCTGGTCAGTTGTAAACTCCTCCACCATTGGATTTTTGTGTGAGTGAGTATGTTGGTGTCTGATTATGTATTTATGGTGTCTACTATGTTTGAGTTTTGTTTTATTTTCATGGTGTTTTTTCACCTTGAGAAACTGTTCCAACCGGTATTGTTGCTTGTCGTATTTCTGGGCTTCTGATGAGTGTTGAAGAGCTGGTCCTTGTGGTTTGCTCATAAGTTCCTTGCTAGTCATGGTCATCTTCGAGTTACAGTTGTCAGGCTTGGATTATCTTTTGTTTTGGAGTGGGGCTCTTGGCTGGGCTCTTCTGTGTTCTAGAGAGAGAAGGACGAAGTTTATGGGTGTGTTATCTGGCCTGAGTTGCCTTGTCTCCGGCGTGAATTGCTTGGAGTGACAAGGGTCCCCTTGTGATATTTTCTGCTCTGGTTATGTTCCCTTCCGGGGTTGGTCTCGCCGGCGTGATTGTGCGGTGTGTTGCTGCCTTGGTCTACTCCGGTAGTCTCACGTGAGTAGGCACTGTAGTGCTACTCAGCGGGTTTAGTGGTTTTTACCCACATGGCCGTGGTGGGTTTATATGGAGATTAGTTTTGCTGAAGCATGGTTGTGCTGTATCAGAGGATCTCAAACGTATTGGATCATGGGCCTCATCTGTCCTACTGTTTTTTTGAAGGGCTACAAATATCTGTACTGCCGAGTTTGGTGGGCTTTGAAAATTGATGTGGGTTCTACTAAGTGGGGCCCATGGCACAAGTTTAAGAAGCAAGGAGTCACTGGTTGTGGCCACGTTTTGTTTAAAATTATTGGGCTGCTTTCATAGCCCAATTCATGGTATTTTTGTTTGGGCTAGTATATTTAACGCCCTAGTGAGTTAGGATGTTAACCGTGGGCTTTTTGCCAGCCACGGTTTTGCTGAAAATTGGTGTGGGTTGTTCTATCTATCTTTTGTATATTTGTCCATATATTTTCCCCAAATATCTATTTATTATTTTATGATAGAGGGTACTTGGGAATAAAAAAGGATATATGGACAATTTTGCTTTTTATGTATGTGTTCTTTTGTGGGGGTATCCTGCTGTCGCGGGAGTGTTTTAATTATTTTATTAGTTTCCATTTTTGGGCGGTTATGAGATTTGTTGTATTAGTTGGGGTATGTCCTTTGTAAATGTGTAAGTTTGTGTTTGATAGGATTTTGTAATTATGATTTGAGTGTATGAATTGTATTTTAAGTTTGTGAGGTTTGTAATTATGATTTGAGTGTGAAAATTTGTTTGCTGAAAGAGTTTTGAAAATAGTTTTGAATTGAATGGAGAATTTTTGATGTGACATTTAATATTTGATACAAAAATTTAAAATTTATAACCAAACATACAACTCAAAATTATTTTAAAGTACATAAACAATTTTAAAAAATTCAAAAAATATTTTTTTTTTCGAATATATAAAAATTAACATATTAATTGCAAAAAAAAAAAAAAAAAAAAAAAAATTCAACCGGCCAGACGACCGGTTAGGTCAAATTTCAGAATTTTTTTTTGAAAATCGCGCTCTATTTGATAGAGTTTTTTTTATAAAGTTGTGAAAAATTAATTCTACAACTCTATCCAAACATCATATTCAAACTACATGGTAGAAAACTCGTTTGAAATTGTTAAATTTTTGTCTTTAATTTATTATTTACCCACCAAAATAAAAAAAATTAAAAATAATCAAAAAGTTAACTTTTGACTGACTTTCTAAATTACATGTTTTAGACCCATTACTAGATTGAGAAGGTGGGTCTAATTTTTAGTCTATATAACAATACTCTTTTCCGTACCAAATGAAAATTTGACACCCATATTTTACGAATCTAACTTTTGATGCTTGTTCAGTGCAATGGAAACACAAATGCGGTGTTAAGAAAGCATCTCAGCCTCCGTTTGGGAAGTGGGTTGGTTTTTTGATTTTTTGATTTTTTGATTTTTTTGACTATTTTAGCCTGGACTTAAAAGCTTGGTTTGGGAAGAATTTTTTGACTTTTTGACTTTTTTGAGTTTTTTTGTGAGAGAAGAATGTAATGATTATGGATTGGATGTGATGTTTTATTTGTTATGGCTAAAATAGCCTATTTTATTTTTTGTGGCTAAAATAACCAAAAAAGCCCACAAACCCACTTGCCAAACATAGGCTCAGTCAACGAAGGCACATTTGAAATAGAAGGGTCATGTGACACTGATGATCTTGTCCTGGAAAAATTTGTCTTACTAGTTACACATCCTCATTGATATGGTGCTTTAAGGGTTTGTTGCATGTTGCATTCTTTAAAAACCTCTCTTGCTGGAAGCTTTGTAAGGATGATGGGCATCACTTGGGGTTTTTTGGCTCTTATGCCAAATTCTGTAGTGTGTTTGGGTATAGATTTGTAACAAGATGTTTGTAAGCATTTATGTTTTGTGGTTTATATTGTGTATTTGTGATATATGTTTTAGATGTTTAAGGATGGTTTTGGATTAAAAAGATGTCAAATGCTCAAAATAACTGCTTAAATGTGGGATTGAACGACCACTTGTTGGTATTTTTTCATAATAATACAAGAAAAATATATTAAATAAATTAAAGAGAAATGACAAAACAAATTTTTTTTTTTATTAAATGATGAAATACAGAATAAATGACACAATTAAATACAGAAATAAATTAAATTATATTACTAAAAGAATAAATTATTAATATGGATAACTAAATATTAGAACTCGTTGAGGTAAATTAAATTTTGAAAAATTAAAAAACAAATAATAAGAAAATAAGTAAACCGAAGCCTGTGTGATATCATAGTTTCCTTAAAATAGATTCACCATCTCTCGATGGGTGCTGGAGGCATGCCGGCGTTTGCCTTTTAGGACACGACGATTTAAACCAGTTTATGCAGAAACACGTTTTGAATAGTTTCGGCGAATTTGACAATAGATGCACTCTCTCTAACAAAAACCAAAGAAGAGGCTAACAAAAGAAGATAGAAAAAAATTTCTTTGGTGTAAAAAACTATCTCCAACTTTTTATTTCAAAACACCATTTCATTTTCTATCACAAAACCTCTCTAAAAACAACTTATTAAGTTGGAGGAGAAAAACCTTTATTTATACTAGTAGGGGAGAGCCTTAGCCATGAAGGCTAACATCAATGGGGCTATCAAACGTGAAACAAAATTGAAATCAAGCTACTTTCATATTCAACCACTCATTTGATAATACATCATCTATATTTGTACACAGCAAGAAGGAGCTCAACTAACTATCTAACAAAATATCTTCAAACAAACTAACTATCTTCTCAACTGTATAAGTAACTCTAACTAACGTCTAAACAGATGAACCTCTTGAACTGTAATCTGTTGAGTTGCAATCTGAGATAGAGTTGTACCTGAGCTACTGTACTTATTTGAACTGAGCTGTTGTATTGCTTGAACCTGAGCTGGCTAAACTGCATTCCTCAACATTCTCCCTCAAAGTGATGGGAGGAGAGACAAACATCAGTTTGGATTGAAGATAAGAGAAACGAGATACTGATAATGGTTTGGTAAATATATCTGTCAACTGATCAAGAGTAGGAACATAGTGCAATTCAAGCTTTTTAGCAAGGACTTGATCACGAACAAAGTGGCAATCCACTTTGATATGTTTTGATCGAGAGTGAAAGACTGGATTAGAAGCTAAAGCTATGGTAGAGACATTATCACACCAGATAAGAGGAATTGTGGGAGACACAATACAAAGATCATGAAGTAACATGCCAATCCAGGTGAGTTCTGCTGCAGTATGAGCCAATGAGCGATACTCTGCTTCAGTAGAGGATCGAGACATAGTGGCTTGTTTCTTGGCTGACCAAGAAATAAGATTGGAGCCAAGAAATAAACAATACCCAGAAGTGGATTTGCGGTCAATAGAGTCTCCAGCCCAGTTGGAATCAGAATAGGCCTAAAGAGCAAAAGAACTGGGTGTATAGGTGAGGCCCTGAGACAGAGTTCCTTTAAGATATCTAAGCAGCCTTTTTACACCAGCAAAATGACCAAGAGTAGGACTATGCATATGCTGACAGAGTTGATTTACAGCATAAGACAGGCCAGGCCTTGTAATGGTTAAGTACTGCAATGCCCCAACTATACTTCTATAGAAAGAGAGATTATGAAAAGGAACATCAGATTTATGAGGCAACCCAGGCTTAACAGATATAGCTGAATCACAAGGCTTACAATCCATCATACTAGCCTTAGTAAGAACATCCTGAGCATACTTGGTCTAAGAAAGGACATAGGTATAGCCAAAGGTTGCAACAGATATACCCAAAAAATAAGAAAGGTTGCCAAGCTCTTTCATAGAAAATGCCTGATGCATTTTAGTAATGAGCAGCTGAATATGTGTAGCATTATTCCCAGTGAGAAGAATATCATCCACATACACTAGAAGAGAAATGAAGACTGAATCATGCTGATAGATGAACATAGAAGAGTCACATTTGCTATTTTTGAACCCTTGAAAGAGCAAAAAGGCTGAAAAGGTAGAGTACTACGCTCTTGGTGCTTGTTTAAGACCGTATAAAGCTTTGTGTAGCTTACAAACCTGCTGTGGGCGAGAAGAATGTTCAAATCCAGGTGGCTACAACATATAAACCTCTTCCTCAAGAAGGCTATGAAGAAATGCATTAGAGATATCTAGTTGCTTTATAGGCCAATGGTGATGAAGAGCAAGACATAAAAGAATGCGAATGGTTCATCCACATACACTAGAAGAGAAATGAAGACTGAATCATGCTGATAGATGAACATAGAAGAGTCACATTTGCTATTTTTGAACCCTTGAGAGAGCAAAAAGGCTGAAAAGGTAGAGTACCATGTTCTTGGTGCTTGTTTAAGACCATATAAAGCTTTGTGTAGCTTACAAACCTGCTGTGGGCGAGAAGAATGTTCAAATCCAGGTGGCTACAACATATAAACCGCTTCCTCAAGAAGGCTGTGAAGAAATGCATTAGAGATATCTAGTTGCTTTATAGGCCAATGGTGATGAAGAGCAAGACAAAAAAGAATGGGAATGGTAGGCAATTTTGCAACAGGACTAAAGGTTTCCTGAAAGTCAATGCCCTCTTGTTGGAGATAGCCTTTGGCCTCTAATCTGGCCTTATGTCTAGCAACAGTCCCATCAGAATTCCTCTTGACCTTAAACATCCATTTACAACCCATGGCATGCTTTCCAGGAGGAAGATAAACAAGGGACCAAGTGTTCTGGGCTTGAAGAGCTTGAAACTTTTCCAACATAGGCTGTTTCCAAATAGGAATAACCAAGGCCTCCTTGTGAGAGGGAGGTTCAACATCATGAGAAGAAAGAGAAGCAGGTTTGAGAGTGACAAGAGCTGCTTTAGACCTAGTAAGCATATGATGACAATTAGAAGGAGGCACAGAAGGAAGGGAAGCAGAAGGTGAAGAAAGAGGCAACTGAATAGAAATGGAGTTAATGGGAATATGAGAAATAAGTGGAAGAGAAGACTGATGAGGTAAGCCATTAGAATTGTGAGATAAACCAGTAGAAAGAGGAGGTAAACTAGTAGAATTTGGAAGAGAAGAAGAACCAGATGCTGGTGAAGTAGAGACAATAGAAGAATGAGATAATGGTGAAACTGAAACAGTGGGAACAAATGATGTCTGTAAAGGTGGTGAAGAAGAAGGTGAAGACCAAAAGAAGGATTGAAGGAAAGGGAGCTGTGTTGAAGAAGAGGATGAGGAGAAAGAAGCCCGATTGGCAAAAGGAAAAATCTGTTCATTAAACACTACATGACGAGAAAGATAAATAGTTCCAGTTTTGAGGTCAAGACATCTATACCCTTTGGCAAAAGAATGATAGCCTAAAAACGCACATTCAACTGATTTAGGTTGCAATTTGGTAGGATGAAAAGATTTGATCCAAGGAAAGCATTAGCAACCAAAAACTTTGAGAAGAGAAAAATTTGGAAGCTTGTGAAACAAAGTTTCAAAAGGTGTTTTATAAGCCAATTTGGAAGAAGGAAGTCTATTAATGAGGTAAGTGGCACAAGCAATAGCATCAAACCAATAATGCACAGGAATAACACAATGGTGAAGGAGAGCAATAGCAGTTTCAGTGAGATTTCTGTGTTCTCGTTTAGCTACACCATTTTGAGATGGTGTATGAGGACAAGAATGTTGATGAACAATTCCTTGTGACACAGTGAGAACTTTCATTTTGT